AGGTTGCTGCGCCCTGAGGATGACCCGCTATCTGTCCTGTAACTCAGCGCTCTCAAAACAAACTTGTGGCACTGTATTGGCTGCCAATGGATGGTTGGAGGGGGGGTTGGGTTTCAGAATGAGAAGAAGAGCTTGATGCTTTGCGCAGAATCACGGGATCATTAGATTCCACCTGACCCAACTGCAACCATTGTTTCTCAGTAAAAGTTCTTTTGACTGACCACATAGTGTCAAGAGTCGTGCTTTCCTGAGGGGGCCAGGTGGGGCAGGTCCTTACACCAGCTTTCCCTTGTGGGGCAGACTTGGAGTTCAGTTATTGTTCTCCCTGTGACCTCTCGGGTTTCAGAGTTGACAGCACAGTGCTTTTTTCCTCTGCAGCCTCAAGAAAAGCCTCCCCCCATATTTTAGTAGAAGACTGCCCTTTAATTTGGGAGGGGGGCTTCAGACTCTTCATAGTGCTTCCCATCATTGGATCCTCACCTACAGTTGGGACTGCTCCAGTCCAGGACCTGGAACTGGGTGCTGTTTCTCCCTCGCCTCCCTGGGAGAGCTGCCTTCCCAGTGGAGGGGGCAGAGGGGCCTGTTCCCCAGAAATTTTGCTCAAGTAGAAAAGAGAATGGGTGGTGGGAGGCTAGAGCACTGAGCTCTGAAAATGCCCAGAAGGTCTCGTGCCTCCCCTCCCCCATTGCCTGGTCCTTCCTATGCCCAGCTGGGCAAAGGACTCTGATATTCCTGGCAGAGTCGTGGTATTTCCCAGGAATGAGAGGGAAGCCTGTACAGTGAAGAGACGTTTGCCTTCAGAACCTTCAGCCAGTCACTTTCTTTGAGCCCAGCCTACCTCACAGGGTGGTTGTGGGGAAAACAGGAGGAGGGAGGAGTATTTGGTATGTTCCCTGCTTGAGCTGACATGTCAGACCACCAATCACTAATTGGCAGCTAACAAAGGGCAGATGAGATGATGGCTGACCTGTCGGGTGAGCCCTCCATTTCTCCCCCCACCCCACCCCACCACATGACTTGGGAAGGAGAATTTAAGCCGTCTGGGGATTTGTGGAAAATCTGCAACTGCCCCTGAATGCAATCTGCGCTTGGCAGTTGTGAGTCTTCAGCTTGCAGGGTATTAGGGATCAGGAACCAAACAAAGCCATGCAGTGAAATTCATTAAAATCCTTTTATGAGGCTCCGCATTGGTTTTGCCCTCTCAAGGGTAGCAATACAGTGGGAGGTACTTTTTCCCAGGGCTGGATGATCTATGTCAAAAAAGCCTCAGTTTAATGTTTAATTAAACTGTCACGGCAGCCGCCCCAGCTCACTGTCCGTGCCCCTCTGCCACATTCCCCCCCATCATCAACTCGGAGGCTTTGGGCGGCAATGCCTGCTGGGGCATTCCTCGGTTTCAGGGAGAGGGACTGGCCCAGGGACTCCCTGGCACATTGAGTGGCAGGGCTGAGACTCCCTCACCTGGGGGCACGTCCAGTTGCTAGAGGTTCTGAAGGGGTGGAATGGCCGACTTGCATCTCCATAGGAGGGGAGGGCAGAGCAGAGTCCTTGCTGACTGAAACTGAGCAGCTGGGATTTAGTGCAGATTGCAAGATTTTTGTGCTCCAGTCCCTGATTCTTTTCTGACTGTTGCATTGTTGAGATACTTAGAAATGGGGGTGGGTGGGTGGGTGGCAGGAAAAGTGCCTGCTGAGGAATCACACAAATTCTAGAGAAGTTTCCTCCGAAAATACTTTATGTGTCTGTGTAACTGGGACTCTGCTCTCGTTCTTTACCAAGCATTGGGGCTTCAAATGGCGGCTTGCAAAAAAGGCCCTCCTCCCCAAAGTGCTGATTTTGGAGGGAAAATGTTGCAGCATTTTTTCCTGGCTGGTTCTCAAGGCCTGGGTGAGAAGCCTATTGAAAGAGCTGGTCCAGGCACTGGCTGATTCCACCCCCACCCCGTCAGTTACTCACGAGCAGCCCTGCTTTGGCACCAGGAGATCTGTGGGTGGCGGCAGTAGCGGCTTCCTCCTTGCGTCTGCCTCTCTGCCTTTGGGGAGCCCTCTCTGGCTTGGCGCGGTGGCTGCTTTGAGGCTTCCATCCGTGCTTCACTGTTTGTACTGAATTTGCTTCGTATTCTTTCCATTGAGTAAAGAGTAACGGGAGCTGCGTCAGGAGGAAGCAAAGCCCAGCTTCTGGCTGTGATGAACTGGGAGCAGAGACCTGGTGGGGAGCTCCAGGTCAGTGTCGGCTCCTGGCCAGAGCCTGCACAAGTCCCGGCAATTTTCTTGCAAGCTTTTTCAGAACCCATTAGGGCTCTGAGGGAGAGACTGGCCCAAGGTCAGACTGCTGGCTTCCTGCCTCTGGCAGGATTAGAACTCGGGTTTTCCCCATTTCTAGCCTGATAAATTTACAAGTGATTGAATGAATGCAGCCATTTTTCATTTCCAAGAATGTTTCCTAGTCCTGCTTAGGACCTCCTGTGTCCTCTGGGAGAGAAAGAAGGTGAGGCAGCAGCCGGGGTTTATGTGTGTTTGTGTGAAGAAGGGTCCGTGGAAGCAGAGATCGTGGCTCAGCTCCTGGAATTGGGTGGCTGGGCTCACCATCTCGTTGCCAGGCGTCTCCCCCCCCTCACCATAATCCTGCTATGGTTCTCAGGGTGAGTTCCACGATTGACGTAGTGTGGTGTTTGTAGCTCCCCACTAGTGACACCTGCAGCTTAGAGAGCTAATCGATCTGTCTTTGTTTTGGTTTTCAGTTGTCCCCGCAAAGAAGATTCACGCTTGGCACCGCCCGTTGGCAGAGGCTTTGTGGGGTGGGGGGTAGAGGAAGGCAGCGGGGTGGCCATCTTCCTTCGCCAGGCAGGTGCAGGAGGAGCCCCCAGCCCAGGTCACAGCAGAGCGGCACCCCATCAGTGGCCGCGGGGGGGGGGCGATCCCCTGGGGAAGAGCTCTCGTCATCAGGGGAGGCCCAAGCAAAATCTAATTCCTGTCATTGGGGTTTAATTTATTTTCTGCCCAGCCTTCTGGATCAGCTGAGTCTTCAGATAAGAGAGGATTGGTCTCCCCCAATTGCCTCTCCTCCAGGCCAAACACACTCCAGACCCCCCCCCCACGTTTCACTCTTTTTCTCCTGCTATCCTGCTGCAGTTGTGTTGGTCATGAAGGGGGGGGGGGCAGAAGGAGCAGCCTCTTCAGGGACCCGAATGACCTGACCAGGAGGTGGGTCACTGGGCAGGTTGCCCCCCCCCATCTGTCTTCAGGGCTGCTTTGTGTGAGTAGTCCGGCTTGGCAATGAAAGGGGGGCTGTCCTCAGCCTTGGGGAAGGGGCCAGCAGAGTGAGGAGGGACGGGCATTGTGGAATGGGCTGTCTTGGGCAGGCTGGGAGATGGGCAGGCTCCCCCAGGCTTAGGAAACAGGATTTCAGTGCTGTTGGCTTTTCAAAGATGCTCCTCTTTTTGTGAAATGTTCAGAGACTTCTGCTCACCCACTGTGGAGAACAGTCTGTCTTTGGGGGGGGGCTCTCTTCTGGGTGGGGCGGCTTCCAGTGTGCAAAGGCCCCTTGAAGAGCGGCCTTCTCTCCTGCAAGGAAAAGGGAGCCATTCAGAGGAGAAACACACATGCAGACTTTGCAGAGCAGGACCAGCAGGCGGCGGGGGGGGGGGGAGGCCTGTCTCTGGGGCTTTTGAGCAAGGGGGGGGCAAGTATCAGCTTGGGCTCCACCCTTCACTTTGTCCCCCAGCCCCACAGCTGCAGCAACCGTTCCTGTATTGTCGTCCCCCCCATAGAGGCATTTTTCTTTAGCCCAGTGACATCTTGGCTGTGCTTGCCGCAAGAGAAGCAGCGGCCCAGCCCTGCCTCGCAGCCAGAACGCACTCAGGGGAGGGTCTTCCCGCATCCGTCGCTGCCTCTCTTGCCCAGAAAAAGCCTGCAGCAGTGGGGAAGCCAATGGGCCAAGGTCTCCTCGGAGCTCTGGTTCAGAATTGGGGAGACCCCTGGCGGGCTACCACCTGGCACACACAGCCTCTGACCTGAGGGCCAGAGACCATGCTGGTGTGCCCGGGGATAGCCCGCCAGGGGTCTCCCCAATTCTGAACCAGAGCTCCGAGGAGACCTTGCTCCATTGGCTTCCCCACTGCTCGCTCTGTGTTTGGAGGGCAGAAGCTGGTGCTGAAGGCTCCCTCGCAGGGTCCAGGGGCAGTAAGAAAGAAAGCCCCCTCCCCTCCCTCTCTGCAGCTGTAGGGCGGGGGGGGGAGGGCAGTGAAGGAGGCGCATCTGACTCTATGCAGAACTGCCCCACCCAGCCCCAGCGGGATCCTGGTTGTACTAGAGGCTGGCAGTGCCTTGTCCAGGGACAGCACAGCTTCCCCAACCCCGGACATCTGTGCTCTGCCAAATTCAATCTTTCAGCTACAAAAATGCAGGTCCTGATTTTTTAATAATCTTGTTTAATAACCCCTTTGCAGGGTTGCCTCTTCTGCCTCCACCAAAAGCTGAGAAGTGACTAGTCCTCAGAACACACAGGGATTTGAACAGAATGGTGTGTGTGTGTGTGTGTGTGTGTGTGTGTGTGTGTGTGTGTGTGTGTACCCATGCAAAAATGGAGTGGCCAATGGGGAAGTTGGAGCTCCCTCTGGTGTGTCTGACAAGACCACAAAGACCTCATCTCTCAGCACCCCGGCCACCAAGTCCGGGCAAGAGGGGGAGGGGCAGGGGTCTCGCTGGCTTCCCTGGACCAACCTTTGGTTCTCCTTTCAGCACCGAGCCTGCTGAAGGCCAGCTGGATTGTTTCGCCTTGGGTGGGTCCCCTAGGCGGAGGGGGCTGTGTGAACCCAGGATGTCCACCCGGGTTGAGGGTGTTGTGTGGCTGCTGTCTTCCATGTCCGAGAAACTGCCTCCCCTTGGGAAAAGCGCTAGGGATGAGGCCGCAGGGGGAGGGAGTGGCCTTTGTCCTTTCAGCCCCCCCCCTGTGGTGGGTCTGTGTGGGAAAGGCTCTCAAGGGCTCCCCTTTTCTTGCAGTTCCTTTGCCTGAAGAACATCCGGACGTTCCTCAAAGTCTGTCACGACAAGTTCGGCCTCCGGAACAGTGAACTTTTCGACCCCTTCGACCTCTTTGACGTGCGGGACTTCGGAAAAGTAGGTGGGGCTTTGGGGGCGGGCAAGCGCGAAGTGGCTCTTTTCCAGTTTCTAAAGCTCCCCCCCCCAGAGGAAAAGGCCTCTGAAGAGGGGCTGGAGCTGTGAGGAGAAGCACCTTTTGCAACCGCCCAGAAGACCCTTGAGGGGTTGGCAGTCCCTTTAGGCAGCCGTTGGCAACGCTGGGCCCAAGCAGGCCTCAGGAGAGGCGTCTCCATGTTAGGTGCAGCGCTGGGGGGGTGCTCTTGCTCAGCGCAGAAGCCTCCCCCCCACTGCTGCTGATGCTTGGACAGGGGTCTGGTCACAGTGAGGCCTCCGTGTCCTGCCAGAGGCCGCTGGTGATCCTTGGAGAGATCTTGTTAATCCCGGTTGAAGCTGTTACGTTGCCTTCACCTTTCAAGACAAGAATCACAGAAAGTTGCATTGTTGAGTGAACGGAATTCTTTTTGCAATTCATAGAACAACTGCAGTTATTCTACACGTTGAGAAGGTTGGGCACATTTAGGGAAAAACGACCCGTGCTGCCTAAATCCTTGCAAATATCAACCGGCCAGTAGCTTTTTCATTAAGTACCTTCCAAAATCACAACTGTATTATGTAAGAAAGAAATCTTTGTTGTGGAGGGGAGGGTTGAAATGAAATATGGCATGTTCCCTCTCGCCCGTTGAGCTCCCAATTTTGGCTCAAGCTCTTTCCCCAACGGGTGACGTTGAAGCTGGTGCATTGCAGGCTTTTACATTTCACAGGGAGGGGCAAGGGTGTAAATATATGTGCTGCGCTGGGCTCCTTGGGGGGTGAGAGAGGAAAAGAAGCTCAGCCTGTGTTTTCTTGTTGGGAAACCCAAATTGGAAGGGGCCTCGCTGAGCTCCCCTTGCCTCTCTTCAGCCTGACTCCAGGTCCAAACCTGCCAGGAGCTGTTTCAGGGGAAACAGTTGCAAGCGATGCGTGTAGACACTCGTGTGGACTCGGGAGAAGAATTAAGAGGTTCACTGGCTGACTGCACAGCGATCAGGCTGTGTGGCTGTGGCTCTGTAATAATGCTTTAAATTCTTTCTCTTTGCATTTATCTCTTGATTTCTACTTCTCAGTGATGCATAGCTTGAGTTCCCTGAACCACAAACCTACTATTTCACATTAGCCGGGCTGAGCATGTTGCACAACACAAAGTCACTCTGTCCTCAAAGCGCTTGGAGTTCCCTGTTTTTTAAAGAGAATTATATTTATTTTCATTAGTTTTGTGCCTGGACCAGAGAGTGTATATTTTCACGGAAACGTAGGTGTGGATGTGGGCAATGGCGCTGTTTTCATAATTCCTCCGAAATCTGAGAGTTCATTTAGCAAGAAAGCACATTTCAGCTTCTAGACCTTTAATGATGGATCTTAAGTCATTGTGCAGCTGGCTGCAGCGTGTGCCTGGCATGCCTGCCAGCGGTTCAGCTGAATGGGGTCCCTATTGCTGCCCGCTGTGGAGAGGAGTTCCTGGTCTTCTCTCGGGTATGCACAGGGTGCAAACAATGCTGCATCATTGGCTGGAACTCGGTGTCGAGTACTCCGTGGTTGCACATTCAGCAGCTGATCCAGGGTTTGAGGTCAGAGGTTGGGAGTTTGGGCACGCAGGAGTCCCACCAGGGGTAAAAGGGCCCTTGTCTGTCAGCTGGTGGGCATCCAAAAAGGACCAGGTTAGTTCCTGCAGATGAGGAAGGCCCAGATCCCCTTTCAGAGGTGGCACTCTTGAGCAGATGGTCTCCTTAGACCAGTGCTTCTCAAATAGTGGGGCGTGCCCCCCAGGGGGGGCGCGAGGCTCCGTAAAGGGGGGCTCGTTTGACCTCGGCAAATACTGTCATATTGGATTTCTAGATCGGATCATCCGACTCACTCGCAAGCGGCAGCCCGACGCGGAGGACAACATGACTGCCAACACACGTGACACATGCAAAGGACCCGATTGGATAGACATGATGCTCTATCCTGATTGGCCAAACCCGCCCGTGTGACTTTTGGACCCAGAAATCGGTCCTCTGTACAGAAAAAAATTTTTTACAGTCGCGCGGGGGGCGCGAAATGTTTTCTTCTTCCTTGGGGGGCACGACAGAAAATAATTGAGAAGCACTGCCTTAGACTGTGAGACTTGTGCGCTGTACAGTTGCACCAGGCCGGGATGGGCAAGAGCACCTTCCCTGATGCTGAAGGCTCCTGTTAGCCCATATCTAACACCCTTTCATTCAACAGCCTCCATTTTGATTTTAATGACTGGGATAGACTTGCTTTGAATTAGAATGGGGGCGAGGCTTCACTCCCACGGCCAGCTGCAGAAGTTCCGTTGCTTTCTCTAGAAGTGAGCGTCACGGAAAATGAAATGAGGCCAAGCAGAGAATAATTCTGTTGGATTTGTCTGCCACCCTAAACTGCTCTGAGGGGCTCTCACAGAGAGCCCCCAACCGTAATTAAGTCCTGGGACAAGAAGGATCCTGCTTGGAGGGGCCTCTGGCTGGGGCTGGTGCATTCTTCCTGACCCACCTTGGCCTCTTGGCAGCTTTTGATACGCTTGACCCTGATGTCTATGACGGTTCTCAATCATCCAGGTCCTGACTGTCATGATTGTTTTTTTCAAAGAAAAAGTCCAGTTGCCTCTTAAAAAAGCACCTTTGGGACCTTGACCCTGATGTCCTCCTGCCCCCTCAGGGGGTCAGGGCTGCAAGGCCCTGTGCTAGGGTCAGGGTGGTCTTCCTTCTCAGCGGCCCTTCAGTTACAGGCAGTGTTGGGGGGAGAGGTCAAGCCTGAGACTCAGCCGTAGGGGCTTTTCCTGCTCCCATCATAGTGAAGCTTCTGAGGAAACCGTCCCGTGACGAGTGGGGAGACGTGATCAGGCGCTGAGGGTGGCCATGGTTGTGCCTCTGTCCGGGTCCGCCATGCAGGCCCTTCCCCAGCATCTGCCATGGGGCTGTGGTGGGGCTCAGCCCCAGGAAGACCAAGTGGCTGTAGGTGTGGGATCCTCCTGGAGTCCAGGACTTTGCATTTTTACTTCTGGGAGGGAGGCTGCAGTTCTTTCTGTCCCCTGGAAAGTCCCCCGATGCTTTCAGCTCCTGCTGGAAGGGCCAGGCACAAATCCATTGGGGCACCATTCACCATTCCCAGTCGCTCCGCCGCAGTTGGAGGGAAAATTGCAATGGGGAAGGAGGAGGGGCGCCTTAGAGCTAGGAAGGCCTTCCCTTGGGTGGGGCTGAAATTGGGAGCCTCTCACTGAGTGGGCTGGTCTGGGAATCCCCTGTGGGAACCCCCTGTTTGTAGCTGTGAGGAATCCCCCAGGCTACAAATACCACAAGACGACCTCCTCCCCACCCCACCCCCTCCCCATGGCACGGAGGAAGCCTTCCCTGGCCTGGGGCGAAATGTCTGCAGGAGGCCAGATGTGCCCGGCCTGCAGGGACACGGCTGAGGCAGGAACAGACCCAGGGAGGCCCTCTGAGGCAGCCCTTCACTCTTGCACGGTTGAGCAAGCAGGGAATCTGAATTGATTCATGATTCTCGGAAGGGATTTTATTCATCTGAAAATGGAAACATCTGCTCAGGGACTGTTGCACCTGCTAGCGGTTGGTTTGGCCAAATTTGGCTGCTCAGAATGGAGACAGAAAGACACCCGGCGTCTCCAGCCTCCCTGTGTTCCCTCTCAAGGCTATGAGACAATAATTGAACTGTTGAATACTTCATGACTGGAACATTTGCCAGACAATGTCAGTTGCAGGAAAGGAAGAAGGACAGGAGGAAAGCAAAGACCTTTTCAGCCTGGAGAGGGAGGGAGATCCTCAGGGTGCGAGGGACAATGGTCAGTCTGCCATCCCAAAGTCTGGGTCTTCGTGCTCCGCTGGAGGGCAAAAGACAGGTGGAAGGGGGGGGGGAACTGGCTGACCCCCCTCTTTGAGGAGCAGGGCAACAAGGGCCAGAGCAAAGGCAGAGGCGGGAGTGGCAGCCGTGGCACCCGGAAAAGGCTTTGGGTCTGCACTGCCACCAGTCCTGTGGAGTTGACCGAATGACTCTGTGAAGCTGGGGCAGCTGTGTCCTCCCCCGCAAGTGGGAGGAGGACCACGGGCGGCTGAAGTCCTGGGCCGGAAGCCTGGACTGGGCAGGGTCTCTGCGTCTGCAACAGGCGGACTCTCCCCTTGGTGGCATTTTTTCCTTGTCTGCAGTGAAGCCACTCATCTAGCAGCTTCTGCGAATCTTCTGCTGACATCTGGTTCCCACGGCCACAGTTGAGTTTCTGGAAGAAAAAAGAAGAAGGGGAGCGGACACCTGGGGCAGCCCCAAAGCTGGACCCAAAGGCAGAACTGCCCTTGTGCAAGAGAGCTGGAAGGTTGAGCAGTCTCCGGGGCCCCTCCGTAGGAAAAGCCCAGGATCCAGTGACCGGGGGACCATTGTTGGCTGCCGGCAGAATTATTGATGTGTTTATTGGTGGGGGGAGGTGTATGGCTCCAGCTGCCACCTTGTATTTATCAGCACAGTCTTGATTTTGCCCCCCCCCCCCGTAAAGGCTCAGCTTGGCTCAGGGCCTGGGGGAGGGCTGTGAAGAGGTGAGGTTGTGGGGCTGTTCCCTTCCCCTAGTACAGTGGGGGTCGAACGACCATTTCACGGGGGTCGCCAAACCACGCTGTCCGCCATTTTTTTCCCTTTTCCCTAGCTGTCCTACTCCTTCTTATTGGTGGCCACACCCACTTGGCCACACCCCTGGGGGTCACCACAACACGGGGAACTGTATTATGGGGTCACGGCATTAGAAAGGTTGAGAACCACTGCCCTAGTATCTTGGGCGGGTTGGATGCCCTGGAGGAAGGGTGGGCCTTCCAGAGAGGTCCCTCAAAACAGAGGTAGAGAATTGGAGGGGGGGGCTGCACTTCTCTCAGTGCCTTGAGCCCTCTGAGCAGTTGAGAGTCTGCTTCTCTAGTCCCATCGGGGGGGAGGGCAACTGGCCAGAGACTGTCGTCCTTAGTATTCTTTAATTGCAGTTGGGT